ACTAGCACGTTTATATCGACTCTGTGTGTGTGTATTCTCACGCACTGCTCACACACACGTACGCACACGCGGATGAAGTCGATGATCGATCATCAATGATGATGATGATGATGCTCTAGAAAATCATGGTAAAACTTGCTTCTGAGCTCGCGTATAAATTTGTACTCGCGCTTTCGCCATATTCCAATGCACAGATCCGGTCTCCTTTATAATAAGCCTTTTTTTCGGCGTTTTCTAGAATTTAACAGGAAAAAAACGACGCGTCCTATAAAATGTCGTGGGGACAAGAAACGGAGGCGGAAAATGACCCGATCTTTTTTTTTCTCGCGAATTTGCAGGAATAAACTGACAGACAATAAGGAATTTTTTCGTTGCTTACTGTGTATAAGGGTTGACATTTTCATTCAATTTCATTCCGGAGTAAGATAAGAATTCGATTTTCAGTGACTCCAAAACGGCAATATGAATGCCAAAATTTGAATGAACATGAATCCCTCCTGAATTAAAAAAAAAGTCGTTTAACGTATGACATTGCGTTTTTTTTTTAACCTTGGTACAACATTTTCCACTAGAATCGAGTAATGCATATAATGGGCACCTGGATTTCCAAACCATATTTTTTTCGTCAATTCACGCCTGCCAATTGATGAATTGATTTTCAAATTGATTAAAATATACAGCGTGTGTCTATGATTCTATTCACAACGATCAGGAGTACTGTAGAACAATAATAAAGCTCGGTGAAAAGCCAAAAACCATTAATTTTGGTCACGACTTTATTCTCCGAGAAAAAAAAGAGTTTTTCAATTTACAAATGCTAAAGACCGAAATTGGGAAAACTTGACTCGGAATTGACTCGCGTTTTCCGTTTTCTTTCCTTAATTGGCACATGATCGAGAATTGAATTTTTTCAAGAAATTCGCCAAATTAAAAACTCATTTCGAAAACAATACGTTGATGAAACGCGTTGATATATAGTAAATTTCGGAAGCCCTCAGGGAAATATAATAATCAGCGAAAGGCAATGTCACCTATTTTGTCATTGCACTGCACTGTGTAAATCGCACACGGCAGTCAGTTTTTTCTCTGAATAATACAACATTATACAGTAACCGAGTCCAATGCATCGATGCATTCACTGCTATGGTAATGTGTAAATGAACTTTGCAATCGACCATCAGCACGCACAACAGTTGAATGAGCACATTTCACACGGAGACTTCGGATCACGCACTTTCACCACTCACACAGTTACTGTAAATCACCTCTCTCTCTCTCTCTCTCTGTTCATGAATATTGTCTTCACAAATTTCTCGGCAAAACTTGAATAATGTACGGTAATTTTCACACTATATTTTTCGTGGAATAATCGGCGCATGCGAAACCCCTCTGCGCGAACGAATCCCGCCCGCGTGGTGATATGATGAGGAACTGGTGCGCCGCGGGGCCCTGCACTGGCACTAGAGTATAGATCCCCATCACCCACCCCCAGGGGTGTGTGTGTGTGTGTGTGTGTCTGTCTCTCTCTCTCCCTCTCTCTCTCTCACTAGACAGTTTATAGTCCTGCCCCCCTCTCCCCCCCTCCCTCTCTCTCTTTCTCCCATTCCGCGCTTCCCTGCATGCACCTCCACTTCCCCTACCCTCCCCACCCCTCAAAATACTAAAGTTTCAGAGGGGGTTTGTGTGTGTGTGTGTTGGAGTGGGGGAAGGGAATATAAGGGAAGCTGGCAACAGCTGCTGCTGCTTGCTATATAGAGGGTACCGTTTTTACAAAGACAAAAAGGGGGGATGATGAGGGGAGGGTTGTGATGTGGTGGTTTTGGGTTGTGTGTGTGGTGTTGGAGTTTTTATTATTGCAGTACATACAGTGTTCATAGGTGAGAATGAATCTTGCTCTCTCTCAAAAATCTCATCTGCAATGATTCCTCTGTTTAAGAAATATTTTGGAGGGACGTGTATAGGGTAGTTTTCCTCAACCATTTTGGTCTGTGGCATCAGCAAATTTCCATCAAAGTGTTCACAGACTGAGAAATTAAAAAAAAAAAAAATTCTGCAGACTGGGAGAGTTTCATAAAAAAGTTGAGTCAGAAAAAATTTTTTCTTTCAAGACTATTTATATGGCAGATATTTAAAAATACTGCTATTTTTTCAAACATTACATTCAGGACCAATGCAGCAGGTATATGGTGGAATGCCTTCAAAAATTGGATATCTTAGCTTAAAGAAAGATTTCACAGAATGAAAAATATTGAAAATGTATTTCAGTGGGTGAGAATTGGTCTTCAGCATAATAAGAGAAAATGTAATTTACATTTTCCATGAATTTTTCAAATGAAGATAAGTAGACTTCATTGATACTTTTTGTAAATTTATTACAGCAAAGATAATTTCTGTATTTTTTTCTAATTTTCTGTGGATTGGTGTTGGTCCACAGACCAAGGGTTGAGGAACACGTCACTGCTCTACAACAAAATCCTCTCTTCAGTGAATTTTTTCTTTGGTCCCTGAATTTTATTGTTAAGAGAGTCCACCAGTGTTTTATTTATGCCTTTTGCATAACTTGCCACTTATTCAATTGACCCATACATTTTTCTTGCATGCAAACATAGACACACACACACACAAACATTCTATTTGGGATTTAATATTTCCAACTCTGGATTTGCCTGCCATCAGTATCTCGGGCAACATTGACTGCAATTAACGTCGATAATCGCAGAACTCGCTTCGCACACGCACACACACGCACGTAAATATTTTGGCAAATTTTCTGGATTTTGTTTTTAGATGCTCAAGACGTATCAACGCCTTCGAGGCTTCTCTGAGTTCGAAAACATGATTATCTACACTGTTTCAAGCAAGTGTCTGAGAATAATAATTGGCTAAATAATTAGCCAAGAAATCACCAATGGAAAGAACAATAACACGGATAACCTGAGCGTGTTAATTGCCTTTACCCAATATTCACTGCAGGGACAACTAGTTCATGATTGCTTTTGGATTCCTACGTTGAAAAGCAATTAATATTCATATTAAAATCACATTCGAAATATTATAACTGATGGAAAAACGTTTTCATTCCGCCGTTTTCGACCAGCATTCGTAGCTGAGTTGCAAGTTTCCACGCGGATCAATTGAAAATCGAAGGACATTATTACCTTGAAATCAACTCCTTCTGACGAGACTTAGGAATAGGATACTTTGAAATACGAGAAATAAATTGAGAAAACGTTGGTTGAACATTGAACCCGGAAGAAAATTGAGTGGTCATCCTGTCAAAAAAGAACTTCGTGTTGCAACTTTAATAGTTTTCCTCTGCTTTCAGCATAATCAAGAGGGAAAATACCGAGCCTAAAGAATATAACAGCTGTACTTTTTAGCTTTATAAAACACTCTTGTTGACTCCATAACAGAGCACGGACTTACATATTTTGATAAAATTAAGCGCGACGGGGAAGTCGAAATTCATGTGCGTAGAGTTGCTCCTCATTCAATTCATTCAATACAACTGATAACCACGCCGAAAATAATTTATCACTGATCACTTCTGTTTAAAACAACGTCTCGTTTCATGTAATCGTGGCGAGCAGATATATATTCCAGTAAAATTTAGATAAAATTCAAAAAACTGTACTCGGGAACGTTAAACCTTGACAGCATTTTTAGTAAGATATTCACCATTACGGCTGAAAAATGTTTTCATTATTTTCTTTGAACTTTCAGACTGGTTGAAGATGTCTTACAGAATATTTCAGCGGAGGAAAATTTGCATTTTCCGTAGAATTCCCTTGATTAACTAAGCATCCTAATTTTTCTCATCGTTGATTGAATGCAATTTCGTTCTCCATATGTTTCAAGGCAGCATTTTAAAGCTACTTTTATTTGAATGCATGAGTTTCACGACATCTTCGGCAAAGAAAAGATAAACCGCCTACAATTCCTCATGAAAAAAATAATAATTTGTAGACAAATACCACTTTTTCACAAGGTGTTCGTGCGACAAATGGCTCCAGGTGCTCATTTGAGTGAAAACATATGCACTTGAAGACGCGTAATNAGTGGCCACTATATATGTGTGTGCTGAGGGAATAAAGCTTGCATATCAATCAATCAATCCATCAGAACACATTCTGCTCTATTCTTGGTCACCCAACCAAGACTTCCACCTGGGCACCACCACTACAATATAACCAGCATGACCACTTTGTCCACTGCATGGTTGCGCCCTGTGGCACACACACTGTCCACTAACTACCACCACCACCACCACCACGACGACCACTGTGGCGGACGGTATAGAACTACTTGCGACTGCTTCTGCCACTGCTGGCCATAGTATACACTATATGCAGCAGCAAAAAAAAAAAGGGACTGCTGCTGGGAACCACATGTGCAGAGAGGAGAGAGAGCGAGAGAACTGTGGTGTGTGTTTGCTCCTCATCCTGTGCCGACAACGAAGGAACGAACGACCGACCGACGAAGGAAGGAAGCAGTGTACGAACGAGCAGAACGAACGAACGACGACGACGACGACGACGACCCATGCATTATCAGCCGACACCTGCGGACTTCCGATATTTTCCCACGCGCCCGCGGCCCGCGCGAGACCCCAACAGCTGCACGGCATGTATATGTGGAGTTGAGTGTGGAGAGGAGGGTTGAGTGTATGCGAGGGATCCCTGATGCCTGCCTGCCTGCCTGCTTGCGCCCTCACTTCTTGTTCCACACTACATGCAATACTATATATGTACTACTGTATGGACCCACGAGGACCACCCCCTCCTCTTCATCCTCCTCCTCTTCTTTGCAGCCTGGACTGCTGGGTCAGAGGGTGTATATATGGAGAGAAGAACCCAAGCATCATCATCATCATCACCACCCACCCTCAGTGTGTCTGTCTGTGCTTGTATATTCCCTCTGTAAAGTCCTGCTGTTGCTATTCACTTTTCTCTTTTTATCTTCTTCTTCTTCTGCTGAAGATTATGATGACCTTCTTTCAAGACACACTTGCAAAGAAGAAAGGAGAGCGGGGGATCTTCCAAGAGATATCCTGTAACTCTTTCTTCCCCAAAAGAAAGAGGAAATGTATGAACTGGGCAGAGATCAGAACCCAGCATGTCTTGTCAGAAGCATGTACTACAGGTGGATTCTGTCGGTATACAGTACAATGATCTGTGCAGTGATTCTCTGTATAAAAAAAAATCAATTTTTGGATCCTGTGCAGGGTTCTCCAATTGTTTGAAATGTTCTCTATGCAACAAAATTAACCCTGCAACAAATTTGTACTAGACTAAAATTGAGAGCAGGAATGACTTGGTTTTTATGTTTGTGTGTTTTGTTATTGTTGCTTTTTTTGAGGGGAGAACGTACAGTGTTTGACAAGTGTTGGCTTTCCTGCTTCTTCAATTAATAAATGTTTCTCACCATGACCATACTTCATTACCATACTTGATTCCTTGTATGGATGAATAAATAATCAGAAGACCTTCTGACCTTCTGCAACCAACAAATCCTATGTGTAAGCAGCAAAATACTTACTCAAAAGAGAAACTCACATCTGGCTATCATTTGTATGATATTTTTGTCCTGATGAATGTACTGTATAATGACTTTAGATGTAGAAAATATTTACGTCTTTTGTTTCTGATATGATGAATGGCCACATACACAGTACAGTATTGTGTAATTTTGAATGTAATTTTGAATGAAGTACAGTGGTGCCTTGCCTAATGACCAAAATTTGTTGCTGTGCAGTGGTTGTTGGGTGAAAGAGTTGCAATGTGGATCATGTTTTCCCTTAACCCTTGCACGGCAGAGGGTTCTTTCCCATAGCGGGACGGAGTTGGATTATTTTTGTATCCTCCCACATTTTCATAATTTTGAAGGTCAGGAAAATCCTTCCAGGTGGGCTGAGGCAAAGTCAGGATAAAAAAAAGCCGTTCCACCAACTGGGTTTTTTTTTCCTGCAAACATTTTCTGTCTGCAGGGAAAAAAACATTGGGATTTTTCCTGACTTTGCCCTCAACCCCCTGTTGACATTTTTTTCTTCACCTCTCTTAGGTGCAACAAAATTTGTGAAATCCGTTAATTGGTTCCTGAAAAAAAATTCTTGCTGAAAAATTTAAAAATGTGCCTAATAAATTTACAAATAACAAAGCAGAGATCCCTAAACACAGTGCTATAGTTCATTCAAACGCTTTTCCTTCTTAAATTCCCTTGCTCCCTTTCAAAAATAATACCCACATAATTACAGTACTGTGCTGTATATATATAGTATTTGCGGATGAGCTTTGCCATATATTGGCACCTGGAATTTCTTGCCCTTGTAACAAACCACACAGGAAATACCCACACACACACACACGCAAACAAATTAAAAGAGACAAGATATGCTCTCAGCAATGAGTAGGACACATACCGTGGTCTGAGGACAGGCCGAGTCCATTGGGCCGGTAGACGTCCTGTTGGCGACGCTGCAAGTCCTGCACGACTGCAGCAGCCGTGTTTGCACCCTGCTGCTGCTGCTGCGGGTCTCCGATCCCAGCCACAGAGTCCCCGGCAGACGCTGCTCGCTGATGCTGGTGGGACAGGTCCACTGGCCTGGGCCCGACCTGCTGCGGGCCATTCATCGCATTCCCGCCGCCGCCTCCGGAAGAGCCCAGCTCTGTGATGCTCGCGTTCTCCAACTTGACGGGAATCTGTGATGAATGCCAGCAATTTTATTGTCAAAAATAATTCAGGAGAACCATCTACGAAAAAGTTGTCTCCAAAACTGTGTTTTTCATTTCGGAGACTATACCAGACAAAATTCTCTCTGGAAAAAAAGAGTTGTTCTTGGCGCCTAGAATTTCGTTGTAGAGAGTTCAGTACTGTATTTGTATTCTTTCCAAATGTGTAGTCCTACATAATTCAACGGACCAGAAAAAAACATCCGTTGTAGAGAGATTTTTGGTGTAGAGGAGAGAACCCTATAGAACTTATGAAAATGCTGATACAAAGGCAATCATTTTCAGACAAGATTTTTGTACAGATAGTCAACCTGCTGTATAGCAATTCACTGGAATACCCCAAACACATATTTTTTTTTTTTTACAAAATTAGGGAATGAAAAAGAGGGTGCACATCATAGGTTGGTTCATATAACGTTATTTTTGGATTTAGAAGCTTCGGTGGACCCAGTACTTCATTCCAACAAAAAAGTTCTAACCAATGTCTACATACAATTTTTAAAGAAATTTGTGAATTTTCAATTGATGAAAAATTAGCATTCAATTTGATTGAAATTCAAGTCTAAATTTCAATGTTGAAGCATTTCATTTTCAAAATGAAGGTCATCATCATTCAGGCTCTGAAATTGGGATGCGTGCCTTACTTGAAGATACTTATTGTTCTCCCAATTCTGGGTACTGAAAAGTTTGGGTGAGTGCCTCACTTCAGAGTTTGTGGCACTTGAATAAATAAAATAAAAAGATGCCATATGAAAATACCTCCTACATAAGCTCCAATTCAAATACTCGGTTGTCATCAGCAATATTTTTGTAGAATAAATAATCCCTGTGCAGTATTAAATCAAGTACCAAGCACCCTCAATAAGTGAAATGCGCACCAGGGTTCCTCGGTTGAAAGATTTGATTAAAACCCTTGGGCAGCAAAGTCAGACTATTTTTGCAAAATTTTGTTGCACCACAGAGAGGTGAAGAAAAAAAAGTCAACAGGGGGTTAAGGGCAAAGTCAGGAAAACCCCCAATGTTTTTTCCCTCGGCATCGAACATTTTTGCGGGAAAGTTAAAAAAAAAATGCTCAGTTAGGCTACCTGCTTTTTTTGGATTCATCCCAACTTTGCCTCAGTCCACCTGGAAGGGTTTTCCTGACCTTTTAAAATCTGAAAATGCGGGAGGATACAAAAATAATTTGACTCTTTCCCACTATGGGAAAGAACACTCAGCTGTCCAAGGGTTAAAGCAAATCCTGAGAATGAAATGCACCCCAATTTTTTTACTACTCAGAAACCAAACTACATATACTGCATTGAAAACAACAGCACCCACATTCGAGGTTATGTATGAACTGAACACAAGTTCAAGCAACTTCCAAGTTTATCCATATTAAGAAGGTTTCTCTGTTGAAATATGTCCAGAAATTCACAGTCGAACCAAGCATAAGACATACTTAAATTTCAAAAACCTTTTTACAAATTTTGTATCTGCCTCTCATGTGCATGCGATTTTTTCCTTCAAATGTGAGAGAGAAAAAAACTCAGCACCTGATGGTATTGTACAATAAGTGGACTCTCCACAACAAAATTCAAGGGAACAAGCAACATTTTGCTGTGGAGAGGATTTTGTTGCATATAGAACCTTTTTTTTAGAAAAGAACTCTTTCAAGCCACAAAAAAAATAATTCGCTATACAAAGAAAGAAATTTTAGACAGGCTCATCCTACAAAGAGTCAATCCACCAGCAGCAACCTATGTTTGCCTTTTTACCTTTAACTGAACTTTGAAACACGTGTTTATGGTAGGATAAATATTGGCACAAAAGGCTTCCTGCATACCTGATGAAAGTAGTGCTGAGGCTGTTGGTGCGTATGGTGGTGCTGGTGCTGGTGGGGGTGCTGCTGGTTATGGTGCTGCTGCTGCTGTAAATGATGGGCATTGTGGTTGTGGCCGAGGTGCTGATGATGCTGATGGTGCTGCTGGTGGTGCTGTTGGTGGTGGTGGTGGTGGTGTTGGTGATGCTGGTGCGAGTGGGGCAGCGGCGGCGACGCAGACACCACAGACACAGGCGCCGATAGCTGCAGAGACCCCGGGGTACCTGGCCCGGATTCAGAGAAGGCCGTCGGTGCCAGAGGGCCACCTCCTGGTCCAGGCTGCTCGCCATTGTTGGTGGTGGCAGTGGTGCTGGGGGTGGTGGTGCTATTGTTATTGGGGGTGTTGGTGGTGGTGCTGCTGTTGCTGGTGGTGCCACCAGCAGACAAGCCGTCTTCGACAGCAGAATTCTGCTGCTGTGCGCTGCTGCTGGTGTTGCTGCTGGTGGTGGTGGTGGTGGTGGCCCACAAGTCGGCGGCGTCCTGGGCGCCGCGAGACGAGGTGTCGTCGTATGCTACGCCTCCAGGTCCGCCACTACCGCCGCCGCCGGAGCTGGCCGATGGGGACGCCAGTCCGTAGTTGTATTGGCCCTGGACAAGATAAGAACACAAAGGAATGAAATGCAGTGTTAGGAATCGAAACTATCGGTCTTGAGCTTTTAGATTCCTTCGAAATGGTGAAAATTTCAAGCTTATTGAATGATGTTATAGGCAAGTGCGGCATTACTGATGTATTTTCCTTGAGATATTCTAGAGTTGTATCCTCTACATCAAACTCAAATGATAAACCTTATGAAGGGATGATGATAAAGCCTTGAATAGAAGGTTGCATATTAATTGCTAAGCCATTCAGGTGCAGAGACGAATATCGAATTATTCCAGTTATTCAGTTGAAGCAAGAGTTTACATAGTACAGGTAATTATTCCTTATGAAATATATTTTACTCCTAACCTAGGAATTCTAAGAAGGAATTCTGGCTCCTGTCCCAGGCTCAATATTGACTTTTATTTATTCTTCTTTTATTTATTCTTCTGATCCAGCTTGACACTAACTTATATTAAGGCAACATCTGTCCCCAATATTAATGATCCAACATGATGATTTTGTACAGGTAAACCTTTATTAAATTGCCAATGTTTGTGCAGAATGATTTTGGAAAGTTTATAGCAAGCTATTCGGTGAAAACGAGGGTTTATTTTTGTGTTTCCGAAAGCCACACTATAATTTTTCATACAAAGTAAACTAGAGAAAAACACAAACCAATGAATTAGTAATGATCAAAACTGTGTCCCAAGCTTCAAGTTTTGTTCAAACATAGTGACATTTTTAAACGTTTTAATGATCCAGCATGATGATATTGAACAGAAAAAAAAACAATGATGACTACCAATGTTTTTGCAAAATTATTTCTTGTAGTTTATGGAGAGGTGGTGTGAAAACAAGAGTGTATAGAATTAACAAGAGACAAACACAAACGGATGCATTAACAAGGATCTAAACTCTGTCTTGAGCTTCGAGTTTCTTTCCAAATTTGGGGTCAAATTTTGAATTTGTTCAAACTTGATATTTTATTGATGAACCTTGATTAAATTCCAATTTGTATGCAGAATGATTTTGGGCAGGCTGCAGAGGTGATGTGAAAGCAAGGGTTCATTTCCCTCTTGCCGAAACCCGTCAAAATTTTGCATGAAAAATTTAAAAAAATTGACGATTTTCTGCTGGGAATGCTGATGGAGCGTGAGAAGAAAAAAAACAAATATCGTCGTTCGAGTCCTGCTATGCTCATATTAAAACAGTGGATTGATTAATACAACATTTCTTTCTGCCTGCTGTATATTACAGTGCATCAGTACAGTATACTGTATACATATATACAATATGTCAGGAAAGTTTTCCCGTTTGCACCCGTCGGGGTTCCCACGGATGCATTCCCGAACGAGGGGCCTCACAAAAGTTATTCTCGGTATATTTAAATGGCACATGACGGAGCTAAAAAATAAAATTCCTTCTTGGAAAAAAAATTCTTTGACAGAACAAGAAAAATTTCCGCCCGCTTTATAGCACCTTTTTTGCAAATTTTTTGTCGTTGCAAAAGTCACCCGGGCAAATTTATGATCGTTACTCAAAACAATATCGCAAATTTGTTGGCATATTCCCGCTTCTCTGACAGAATTTTTGAAATTGACATGACATCAATTCCGTGGGTGTTGATGACACCAGGTTTTTCCAACTTGATTTCACCATTTTTATAAACATTCACAAGCGTCACATACTCATCTCATGTGACAATTGGGCTGTTGAATGAAAATGGCGGAATCAATAATAAATTCACGGCGGAAACTATCGAAATTAATGCCATGTCAATTTCAAGAATTCTGAAGAGAATTCTGGGTTACTTCAAACAAATCTGCAAAATGGGCGCATTATTTTTTTCTCACTAAAATAGCAGAAAATTGTCAGTGTGACTTTTGCAAAAAAATTATGAAAAATATTTCAAGCATGGCTGCATTTTTCCTTGTGCCAAAGCATGTGACAGTGATGATGACTTCAATTGTATCCCGTTTCCCGTTCAATTAAAAAAAAATATATATTGCTTTACCCCTCGTATATACACTGGGTTCCACATGAGCACCTGACTTTCCAGTCAGTTTCTGTGTCGCTCACTGCTGCAAACTATAGAATAACGGTAGTTCTTCAAAGAAACAAGGACAAAAGGAAAACAAACAAGTGATGACCGGATTTCAGCAATACCAGTATTGTACAATATATCATTTGATTGATACATGCTGATTCTGATGCGCATTTTTTTTATCTTTATCTTCCTCAATTCTTGACGGGTCAAGGATAAATACGGCGTAGTAACGACATAATTTTGCCTGCAGCATTTCTTTCGCAACGTTGATTTCAACTTTCACACGCAATTCACCTCATTCCCTGTCCTTGCAAAATATGTCTTCAAAAATCCGAATGAAGGTTTTATCTACAGAGTATGAGTGCTTCCCAGCAGACATGTTTATTACAGCTCATGCCAAAAATATACTGCATTTTCAAATTTATTTTTGTCAGGATCACAACTAAAAGAAAAAATATTTTAGAGTTCTTCCATTTAAATAAAAAATAAATAAAACATAGCTTTACAAAACTTCATTGGTTGCTTAATTCTTGGACGGCTGAGGGTTCTTTCTCAGTGCACAGGAGAGTCAGGATTTTTTCAGGGGGTGGCAGATTCCAGTTTGACCCAAGGTTACTGAAATGCACCGAGGTTGAGGAGGTCTAAGTCAGGAAAATTCCAGGAGGTGAATTTTCTTTTGTTTCCAAGATTTTCTCATGCAAATCCAATGCCAGGAATGCAGGAAAAAACACCACCCAGCAAGGTTTTTTTTTAATTTTAATTGAAAATATTCTGCAGGATTGCAAAAAAATCTCAGACTTTTCCCCAACTTAGCCCTTGGTACAAAAGTAGGTTTTTTATTCCTAATAGTGCCCCGTGGCACAAAATTTTGCAAGAATATCCTGACTTTGCCACACAAGGGTTAAATGGCTTTGTTGTGCACACAGTGTGAAGCATGGTACCAGTCCACACAACTGAAACAGATCATCCAGGATTTTTCTTCTTTTAAAATGAATTTTGGCATTTAAGATGCATTCGGAACTTCTGATACAGCGTTAAGTATATTGGTCCAATTTTAGCATACAAGAACCAAGAAAACTGTTGAGGAACCTCACGTCCGCACCAAAAACCTCGTTAATCGAGGAAAATATCTCATATAATTACTTTAATTAAAATAAAACACTGAACAAAACGGGACAAGATTAAAAGAACTGATTAAATTTCGAGTGTTTCCCCTATTCCAAATAAAAATAACTTCCTGATGTTACAATGCCTTCAAAATTTTACGATTCCACCAATCACAAGCCTTCTCAAAAGGCAAACCACTTTAGTACTCAACCCAATGAAATCAAGAAAACAACAAATTTTGTCAGTCTATTAATTCTGACTATACAAAAAGAACATTAAAGAAAATAGAGATTGCCCGAGGGTGCAGAAAACCTCGAGCACATCCATATACCAACGAAGGCTTGGATTCGGGCGTGAAGCAACCCCCAATAATAAAGTGGGGTATTTCATAAGGCGACCAAGAAAAAGTGTTATTGCGTGGAAAAGATTTGGGACCCGTAGGAAGGACACAATGCACGGGCCAAGGACGACCGCAAACGCAGTAATTTCACCCGAGTCCCTCAATTCCCGCGAAAATTCGCCACATTCCGTCGTTCAATTATGTGGCAAGTTTTCCATTGACAGACACACCGCGTCTAAATCCGATTTACTTATTCGGAAATGGAACACTTCAAAAATTATAATAATAATGAAGGATGATGAAGGAAACGCAACGACCATCAGCCATAACGTCTTCATGAGATACAAGAAGACTTGTGCTTTAAATTAATTGTCACTGATATTTTGTTTTTGATGTCAGATGAAGAATGGGTGTATTCATACATGTCAGATTTATTTTGTGGATTGTATTTTATTTATTTTTTGTTATCCATTTATGCTCTGTTTCTTGCTCTGAAGTGATTAAATGTCTTTGAGTTGATTTGGGTTGGATGGGGAGGGGGTTTGGATGTGGAAATCTTGATTGAACCTTGTGAATGGTGAAAAGCGGCAAATAAAGTGTTCTGTTCATTCATTCACAAGATGCAGGAATGAAGATGTTTGGCAGTTGGAAACTCTAACAATGCTCATTGTTATAGGAGTTGTGCCAGTTGAGTGAATTTCAAAATATTCAGGAATCCTTCACCAAAATGGACTACAGGTGGTGCATTGCAATTCAACCCTAGTCTGTTGCTGGACTATAGGGTCAAATTTCAAAGCAGTCAAATTGTGAGACAATATCAATTTTCTACATGGCATTTGACATTTCATGTCTCTCCACAGGTTGAATTGCATGGCAGAGAACAAATTGAGAGTTGGCCTCCCAGAAAATTTGACAATTGAGTTGTGGGATGTTTGGTACCACCTGCATATAACTAATATGAGGCAGATAATTGAGTTAATCGGGATCTAATGATTTTTCCAAAACAAATTCTGCTTTATGAAATTTTAAGCCAACCTTATCTGGGTTTGCTAACAACGGCATTTTTGCTGATCAGCAAAGATTTTGTTGATTGTGGGTTGATGGGTTGACTGTGTATACTACTGTATGCAGTAAAATATTGGTTGAAAAAATGTTGTATCAAAATTCATGGTTTCAACACATTAAGCACCAAAATTGTGTGAGAAACTCTTAATAATGACTGTTGAATGCTTCTATATAACAGATTGTTAAAGACCTGTCCTAATTTCTCTTCTCTCTGATAAAATGGAGTGGACAATTTTTTAAATAAATGATATATACTGTATTCACTTGACCACTTGCCCTTGAGTAAGGCACTCACAGAGGTTTTTTCAGTTGGAAATTTTTCTAAAATTGTATCCCTTATAGTAAGATGCACACCTCAATTTCTAGTGAATCTAAAACCACAACATTTTTAAAATAAGCACAAAAATTTGACTTTAGGCAAGAATTGAAAAAAATCTGATCAATTTTTATCTATTTCAGTTCAAAAAAGTTTTCTTGCTAAATTTGTTCCAAATTTCTCCTTGATAATCAAGTATAATGCACACATAACTTCCTAAAACTTCTTGAAAAATTTGTACCTGCTTATGAAGCACACCCCTTTTTTTCTTCTGAAATTTGAGAAAAAAACTGCGCGTGGTACTTGAGTAAATAGGGTATTATTTATTGAACCTGCCTGTACCACTAATGTGCTTTTTTCATGAAGCACGCAATGAAACAGGAATAATTTTGGAAGAAATACTTCTTTCAAAATTGACTATTTCATCATTACAACTTTTCTTTGAAAAAATGGAAAGTTCTTTCTAGCATGCTGCTCATTTCAAAGAAAGGTGTACATTCTGAAGGGGAGCTGAAGAACTTCCAAAAAAATTGTCATGTTTTGTGTTTCTTTTCAACACTAATTTGCTCCACAGTAAGTTTTTGCTGTTTTTTTTTTATGAAGTCTGAACGCTGCAACAGTTTGAAATTTGCCATTTAACCCTTCTGCAGCAACTGATTCTTTCCCATTGCAGGACAAAGTACAGATTTTCTAGGGTGGGCCCAGGTTTAAATTTTGTTGAAGGCCATGACAGCCAAACCAGGTGGCCTAGGGAGAAGTTGGATTTCATCCAGCAAAAATGTGTTGTGCTTTCCCAAAGTTGGACTTTTCCCCCTAATCTTTTGTGGCCTCTAAATGGGAACCCTTCTTCTGGTGCCCAAAATGAAAGGGCCAAGAAGCTGAAAGTAATAAAACTAATCCAGGGATGAGATTTAAAAAAAAAAGCTCAGCCTTAGAGATTGATTTTTTTTTCATTTTTGGGAAAAATTGTTCTGCAGTAGTATTTAAAAAATACTTCAGGATTTTTCCTGACTTTGCCCTGGATGCACCTTTGTGATTAATTTTAAAGCTTCTCTTACTGTTACCAAATTTTGCAGAAAAAGCCTGACTTTGTCGCCCAAGGGTTGATGAATAATCCATGTGATCTCTGCACTGAATCAGGGCCAAAATTGCATCTTACTACTGAGACAACAACCCCAGATGAGTTCATTAAACCCAGATTTTATAGCATTGCTCTTATATATGTTTGGAGTAACTACTGCAAGGGACCAAGAAAATAATTCTCTATAAATAAAGAAAATCGTTAAAACGAGATTAGCTTCAATGGAATTTCACTGCACAAGCTTCTGAAACTCTTCTTCTTTTTCTTCTGCTGCAAATGAAGACATTGCCCCTTTTCCCATTCATGAATACATCATGTACAAAGACACTTGCATTTTGAGCAGGTGTGTGTGTGTGTACAGTATGCGTTTATAACTTCTTCTTTTCGCCTCAGTGCATCATCATCACGTCCTGAAGAGAGGACGTGGGGGGGGGGGGGGGGGGGGGGGGACGAAAGAAAAAAGAAAAAAGANGGGGGGCGGGGGGGGGGGGGGGGGTGGAAGAGGAACGAAAAAAAAAGCATGATGATGATGATGATGATGATGGACATGCAACGGAATTGATTAGGCCTGCCTGCGAAGTGGATAGAAGGATGAGTGTCGGTCGGGGTCAGGCCGTTGGACGTTGCGGCTTCCGTTCCAGCGGCGGCGGAAGGAAGGAAGAACGGAAGGAATATAATAAGGGAAAGGAAAATTGGCTGCTGCATGGCGTGGCGACTATATATCTCAAGCGCATGCAGTCTTGCAAGATAATCACGACCGAGCGTGGGGCCGACCAATAATGCGTGTGTAAAAAAAGGGCGGCCTACCTGTCTCCAAGCCGCCAGCTACCAACACACTGTACTGCACACTACCGCAGAGTTGTGTATACTGTAGTGTACTGTACTGTATTGTACAGTATGGATAGATAGATGGAGAAGCCGAGGATATTGAGGTATGGGAGTCGAGGCCCAGGCGCACTCCCACGATCCCCCCCCTGCCCGCCCGCGGGGCATCCACACGCGGGCTCCCGTTTTCTCTTCCTTTTCCTGTACAGTACAGTATATACAGTATAGTACATGTCCTCTCCCCTCCTCTGTTCCTGGTGATGGAGGCAAATTACTATCAATTAACCCCCGTCGCGCGTGAGTCCGAGATCCCACAGTTTTCGCGAAGGAAAAAAAAAGAAGAAATGAAGAAAAAGAGAGAGATGGAAAGACAGGCTATTGCAGGAGAGAGAGAGAGACTTTTTTTGTTTTTTGGCATGCACTTGCCATCAGCAGTACTGTACTCTATCTCAGCTATAGGTTCCCGCGCGGTGATGATGAACCTGTGCTGCCTGGTTTCTCTTATTCCATCCTACTTATTGTTCCTTTCTTCATCTGTCTTTTCCTTTCTATCTTCCTTTCGTCATTTTTCTTTTGAGTTGATGGTCGCACGCGAGCATGTGTGTGTGTGTGTGTGAGAACGACCTTCCGGTTTCCGCCACTCAGCTGCTACTGTTGGAGAATTGAGGCAGGCAAAATGCTCACACGCAGGAGGAGGATATATAATCACAGGGATAGTGATGATGCAGTTAGAACCAGAGGGTGGTGTCACAGGCATGCATCCATCCATCCATCCACCTCTCATTCATCCATAACATCCTTTCTCTTTGTTCCCTCCTCTTTATTTACTCTTTGTTTTTTGTTTTTTATCAGGGAGTTCAAAATGAACCTCTACAATGGGATCTCCTTGAGATATGAATTTGGCCTATGAGGATGATTCAACTTGCAGACAGACACTAAAAGCTCTAATGGAATCCGGCCCAATGTGTGGACTGATTTGGGCTATGGACACCTTGCCATACATAGAAAGACAGTGATATTTGTTTTCAAAATTTGGATATCCTCCTCATCAACAAAATGAGCTATTTCCATGTAAGAAAAGGCTGAATTGAACTGATTTCAAGATAAAGCTAATTTTTTTCCAAAATAAACCTTCTTTCCTGCTTATCATTTTAGAGAGTTTTTTTTTTCTAACAGTGGTTGAGAGTTTGGCTTCAGCATTTTTTTGATATGCACTGATTTCTGAATTCCTTTTCATACCAAAATGCAACATTTATCTTTGGTTGTTCAGGTGACCAATTATATTTTGTATATCAAGCATGATATTTTGTTTTAATGCTTTGGAGGGATTTTTACAGTTTCATGACAAGCATGAGAAGTGATTACTTGAATATATTCTTGATCCTGTACGTCACAAATTTTGATCTGTTGTGCAGATATTCAGATGCATGGACACAATTTAAAAAGTAAATACATCCACATCCATTTGCAAAATTGTATCCACTACATGCAATGCCTCGAACAGCAACATATAAAGTACTAACCACCATGTGAGAAAGAAATAAGTACTGACTTTTTTGCTTTTGGAAAAATGAAATTCAAGCCTAGAAATGTTAACCTCAAAAGAGAAAGAAAAACAAAGAAGCGTTTTGTTGCAGGAAGATTTAAAAAAAAGGAATAAAAACTTGCAGGAACAATGAGATAATGTACTTGAAAAAATTCTCACACAAACTGTGTCACAAAAGAACAATGCCATGCATGATATACTACTTGATAATAGTACACTGAACTTCGTCATTGGAACAAATAAAAAACAACTTTTCTTTTCCTGCAAAAGCAGGCATAACTTAATTGTTTATACACATGTATACATCATTGTACTCTTTACTCTTCCCCCTTTTTGCACGGCTCATTTGGAAAAATATATATTTCTCGAATGCACTCGAGAAACTTCTTGGGTTGTGCAAGACGCAATTATGCTAATTTATGGTTACGGCACGTTTGTTCAAGCCTGA